TTGATAATTGCATGTATTCATATGAGTTTTAAGTAATTGGGAATGTCCTCTGTGTAGGCATTCTGTTGAGTAGCGAGCTCGGAGAGTATATTCTGTGGAGCTAAGTGAAGAGGCTCATTGAGGTAACCTCTTGGTACTGAGGGTTGTTCCCCTTGTGTGTTCCACCATACCCGTTGAAGGTGATGGTAGGAAATGTATATGAGTAGTGTAGAATAACATGATCATGCATGTAGATGTATGTTGGTACATAGGTACCGAGTCTTTGGCCAGTAAACAGATTTTGCCTTCGGACGTTTCGGACTTCCACTGGATAGGTCTCCGAGAGGGAGTTCCAGTTGACCCAGGGTCGTGGTGTGTGATCCGGATAGGAACACACTAGGAAGTCTCGGGTGTATGCGGATGGGAGGGGTACCTTGGTTGATGTTCTAGGAACACGCCTTGGATGAGACCCATAGGCTTATATGCCGAGGACGCTGCGTGGTATTGGTAGCTACCATTCCTGCTTCGTCGTATTTTGTATTCATATATTCCCCACTTTCTCTAAATCCCTTGCTTTATCCCGTTTTGAAAAGAGGTTATTTTATATTATTTATATGCATCGAAGCAATGGCGGACCCAGAAATTTTTATAGAGGGGGGCGAATTTTTTATATATATATTATTAAGAAAAGTACATACAATCATATATGAACTTAATATAAAAAGTTTGAAAGAGTTTTATTACAAAATTTAAGATCAATTCACTTAATTCTTACTCTACGTTTTTTCATATTATTAAACTCTTCTATAATTGAATTTGTGCTAAAATTCAAAATAATTTCTTTTTCAACATATGTAATCAAAGAATCATCAAGAAATTCATTTTCCATTCAATTTTGAAGTCTAGTCTTGATTATCTTCCATTCGACAATGGATGTGGGCTCTTTTCCTTCCCCAATATTTAGCTCAAAAAATTGGAACCCCTGTTTGTGTGTTTTGTTTTTGTCTTCTTTGACAATGATTTTTGCCACCCTCTTGATAATCAAGTGTGTCTGATTTTGAAAGTTTTTCTTGAACCCTAAAAGTTTGCTCATTCCTTTGGAAAAAACTACAATTTCAATTTCTTAAGTTGTGTTTGTTTAAGTTTTTTTGAAATTTTCAGCCCAATTACTTAACTTTTTTAGTTCAAAATAATTTTTTTTAGGTCAAAAATTTATATATATATATATATATATATATATATATATATATATATATAGTAAAAAAAAATCTAAAAATCAGGGAGGGGCAGTGGCCAACCCTAGCCCCTCCCCTGGGTCCGCCTATGCATCGAAGTGAGCCATTGGGCGGAGTTTTCTCCAGAACCTCTGGGTTACTGAGATATATTCGTATATCTCACCCCGTCTTGGGGGTTTTATTTCAGGAGGTAGCAGTGGTACTGGAGCGGCGGGCAAGAAGCCTGTAGGATGAGTTATTGGAGGACTTGCACTTTTTGCATTTTGATGGCCATTTGGCCTAGGCTAGACTTAGGGCATGTACATTCCATATGTATGTAGGATGAGTTTCATAGTCATATTTGTTCATGTCATTTTGCCTAAGTCTAGTTAGTTGTATACGTCATTTGAAGTTCATGTTTCAAGTTGTAAATTAAAGTTCATGTTTCAAGTTGTAATTAAAGTTATGAAGTTGTAAGTTGTAATATGTAAGTGAAATGTTGTAATTGTACAATGGATACATGATGTAATATGATGGAAGGGCTTTAGGCCTATTTTAGGATTATAATTATTTGTATGTTGAGAAATTGCATGTAAATGGACATTGGTGATTGAAACAAGTTAAGGATTTATAAAGTGATCCATATGGTATAAATTGTGTAATAACTATAAACTGAGTTGGGTTGTAAGTGCCCCAAGGCATTGTTGTTCCTTGTGTGTGCCACCCATTGGTTATTAGGTACATTTGAGGTATTAGAAAGCAATTACAAATTTGGAGATTTTAGGAAAAACAAAGGAAACTCTGACGAATTTTCTGTAGAATTGGCAGAATTTAGACGAATTTCGGGAGAGTATATCTCCCTCCACAAAGGTCCGATATGGACGTTCCATACGCCATTTTAATTCTTGAGATGTCCCCTACATTGTGTTAAAATATGGAAAATTTCTGGGTTGCTCGCAACCCTGTAGAAACCTGAGAACACAGACTGTCCAGAACGCACCTGTGCAGGGGTTGTTTCTGGCAGTTTTTGAGAATTTTATTCCCGCTTCGTTTCTCAGTCAAATTAAGTTTACGATATATCAAGTTGAAGCTTGAGGTGTCTAGTTCATGGTATAAAAATTTGAGAGCAATTGAGTGAGTGTTTTTTTGCAATAATTCATGGAGTGAAGGATGTTTGGAGCTGTTTTGGAGTTGGCTGGCAGTTTTGTTTGTCCAACCTCAAACGGCAATATCCGGAGCAAACGAGATCGAAATGACTTGTGTGATGGTTCGTTGGAAAGGTATTTAAGTAAGAAAAAAATATAGCTAAAGAGGAAGGACTGGTTTTGTGCGGTATGTCCGCAGAAAAATAATAATCGAACCATGTTCAGATGAGTGGAAAACGCAAAATCGAGAAATTAGCTAAGTGAGTTTATGGGAACCCCTTAGTGTCTTGTATTGAGTAAGATAAGATATAAAAATAGTTTAAACAAGTATTCCGCAAGGGTTTACAGTTATGGTCACAGCTATTAATTATTACACTTTTTATTGTTTTAAATACTCGCGTAATAACGGAAAAAGTTTATTCGCATTTTTATAAATGAATTGCTGTGATTGTAACTGCGCTTAATATCATAATGAATGTTAACAATACCGGTGTACAACGGGCTGTTACAAATACGGGGTTGATTACCAAGATACATTTGCACCAGTAGAAAAACTGAACACAATTCGTATTCTGATTTCTATAGCAGCTAACAGGGACTGGCCACTCAAGCAATTTGATGTAAAGAATGCATTTTTAAATGGAAACTTAGAAGAAGAAGTATATATGGAAATTCCACCAGGCGCCAAACATGCCAACTTGAAGGGAAATGAAGTGTGTAGATTAAAAAAAGTACTATACAGCCTCAAGCAATCACCTAGAGCTTGGTTTGGCAGTTCTCTCTAGTCATGAAGAAGTTCGGATACAAACAAAGTAATGCAGACCACACCCTATTCATAAAACATAATGGAGGAAAGGTAACAGTGTTAATAGTGTATGTTGATGATATGGTTTTGACTGGTGATGATTTATTTGAAATGGAGTTATTGGAAAGACATTTAGCAAATGAGTTTGAAATGAAAGATCTAAGATCATTAAAGTACTTTCTTGGAATTGAAATTACTAGATCAAATCAGGGAATTTTTTGTCACAAAAAAGTACATTTTAGATCTACTTGCAGAAACAGGAATGACAGCATGTAAACCAGCAGAAACACCAATTGAAATGAATCATGAATTGGGTTTATATCCTGATCAAGTACGAACTGATGTTGGCAGATATCAAAAGCTAGTAGGGAGGTTAATTTATTTATCACATACTAGGCCAGACATTGCTTATGTAGTTAGTGTTGTGAGCAGATTCATGCACAACCCAAGTGAGGATCACATGACTGCTGTGTATCGAATATTAAGGTATTTAAAAGGGTGTCCAGAAAAAGGTATGCTTTACTCAAAAAATAATAGTCCCGGAATTAAATGCTACACAGATTCAGATTGGGCTGGAGATAAAACTATCAGACAGTCAACTTCAGAATATTTTACTTTTGTTGAAGGCAATCTAGTTACTTGGAAGAGTAAGAAGCAGAAAGTTGTGGCTAGATCGAGAGCAGAAGCAGAGTTTAGAGGAATGGCACATGGAGTGTGTGAATTGTTGTGGATTAAGAGCATCCTACAAGACTTAGGAATCTGCTACAATCAGCCTATGAAGTTATATTGTGATAATAAAGTTGCTATTGAAATTGTCCATAATCCAGTTCAACATGATAGAACCAAGCATGTAGAAGTGGATAGACACTTTATCAAGGAAAAGCTAGATCAAAAAATTATTCAATTTTCCTACATCAAATCTGAAGATCAGTTAGCCGACATCTTGACAAAGGTTGTATCAGGAAAAATGTTTGAAGAAGCAATTAGCAAGTTGAGCATGATTGATATCTATGCACCAACTTGAGGGGGAGTGTTGAAATGAGATAATATTTGCTAAACATATTGTGAACATATAACCTAGCAGCTACAATAAATAAGAACCAAAATTCTCCCATGTGTAACAAAACAACGAACTGTCCTTTCACAATACACGTCTAGAATATTCTCGTTCAATTACTCATTTCTATCATTGGGCATATATACTTCTTGGTAAAAATTGTGAACATACTTTAAATACCAAAAACAAATTGTGAACATATTTTATGGTACTGTGATTCCGTCATTTAAAAAATTAAACCTACATTCATACTTAACCCCCTCCATTTTCCATTCAATTACAATTTATCATTCTTTTTTTCTTATGTTACCTATTGATTCATCAATTATCTTATTAGTCCGATTTAATCCGGGTGAGACACATGAGTGGCAAAGTTTTCCTTATCAAGTTTTAACACAATTACATTCTCAAAACCTGGTCTCAAGATTACTAGTTAAGATAAAACAACCTCTTACCAATTAATTTTCATGATTGTACCGTTGATCATTCTAATTTTCAATAAAAAGCAAAAAGTAAAAATATATTCGTTGCTGGCAAAAATATCTTTGTTGAACTTATAAGATTGAAGGACGTTGATGCCATAAGATCGATAGGTATTAATGATTCAAAAATTCGATAAATAGTAAATCTTTTCATCTTTGGTATCAACAATTTAATAAAGATTTGTTTATAAAGAAATACATTTGCTGCCAAAACATCTCAGCTAAGCAAAATATCACTCATCTAATAAATAAATAAAAAGAAACCAAAAATTAAATTGGCTTCTGACAAACATATACTACAGTACATTCATATAGTGTCTAAAAGGAAGCAACTAAATGTGAATCAGAAGTTTGAACCAAACTTTTGTTTTCCGTTTGCAAGAATTTTGCAAAAACACCAACTAATGGGGCAGTATTATATGTGCAGGCCTCAGTTTGCATATAATTGTTCCTTTCATCCACAAAATTGTCATGATAATCAGGCCCTCCAACTAAAGCCCCAACCAGAATGTTAGGATTTGGTTCCTTGATGTTGTACCAATTATCATAGCCTTGTGTGCACCCAATGAACCATTTATTCTCTCTATACGACACAATGGATGCCCCTCTATGATGCACCCTTTTGGGGTACCTCGGTCCAAAACCCACTAAGTAGCTCACATTAAGTGGGTTAGAGCCCAAAATGTAATCAGCTTGTGACTTAGCAAAACTGAGAATTTCTTCATGGCCCACAATCCCACCATGACACCTAAGCTTTTGATTTTTGCTCTGGAGAAAATCAGAGTATACTGTGAGCAGAAATGCTGCTGTTGAAACGTATTGCATGTTGTTCCATCGTCTGACATAGAGTAATCCACCTGGTGTTCGTTCCACATTGCTGCCATTGTTTTTGTTGAGACATGAACATATGTAGTACTCTGCTTTTGATCTGAATTTTTCTAGCATATCAGCATGCTTCTTGTGTTTTTCTTCCATCAAAAGCTGCAAAAGACACAAGTGTATCAAGATCGCAAATACTTTATAAGACTATTATACCATAAAGTAGCATATAAATGAGGAATATGACCTTATATATTTTATCTTCTTTTTATTAACATTGTTCTACTCTCCCTATAAATTTTTTTTCTTCTCTTTAAATATTCTCATATTTAGTCAGGATTATCTTATACCAGCATAAATTACTTTCTTAATCTTGATCTTTGATTTTATTAATATCCTAATTGTTCTAATTTTTTTTTTTTGATATACTGACTATAAAGGCAAGTTGGCTTATCTCCAAAAACTTCAATTTTTTGAATCGACTATAAAACTAATCCTGAGTCGAGTTTTAGTCACAATTAAATCTGCTTCTGCATCATCCCCAAATATGAATCTGATGAGAATCGAACCAAAGTTCTCTTCTTACTTATTCACCTTGTATTGTCAACTAAATTACACCTATTGAGTATCTGCCTAAATTTTTAATTATATAAAGAATAAATACCCCTTTTGGTCCCTAACAAAAAATACGGTCCCCACTTTAGTACCTTACAAAAATAAATTAGCCAGTTAGTCCCAAACAAATTTAAAGTAGACCCATTTAGTTGAAATCGTGGTCCCTCACAAATTTAAAAAAGACCCATATTAGTCTCTCAAAAGGACTAAAATGGGTCCATATTCGTGGGGACCGTGTTTTTTGTTAGGGACCCAAAAGGGTATTTACTCTTATATAAATCATGAAGAGTAAAGTCTCATTTTGGGTCCCTAACAAAAAACATAGTTCCCACTTTCGTCCCTTACAAAAAAAAGTCAACTTTTGCTCCTTCTACAATTCAGTTCTTTGAAAATTATGATCCCTCAGAAATTCAATGAAGATTCAATTTAGTCCCTAAAAAAGGATTAATATGGATTTTTTTTTAAGGGACGAAAGTGAAGATCGTATTTTTTGTTAGATACTCAAAAAGGACTTTACTCAATCATTAAATATAAGTGTATCAATAAGCAAGAATGAGTATAAAACTCGTGATTCTGTAAGAATAACCAACCCCAACTTTTGCACATTCCTATAATAATTAGTAATAAGTTAGTTATGTACTATTTTGTGTTGATAAATTTCCTAGTTTGTTTAATAATAGACTTTGAAATCCTTCTCTTCTTTTCAATAGATCTCATTTTCATCTCAGTATCATTTGGGATAGGATATTGTGACACCCAAGTTATGTTACACCCATGTGACACCCAGTCAATCTCACCGTCAGATCGCTTATGTTAATCCAACGGTTATATTTATTTCCATCTTTGTATGGTCATGATTTTCCAAATTTAATATTTTATATTTATTTCTACCTTTGTATGGTTATGATTTCCCATATTTAATGCTGTCACTTTAAATTTGAGAAATCATGACCATACAAAGATGGAAATAAATATAACCGTTGGATCAATATAAGCGATCTAACGGTGAGATTGACTGGGTGTCACATGGATGTAACATAACTTGGATGTCACAATATCCTATCCCGTATCATTTATATACCCATGTTCAAAAAATTCCCAAGTCTGTCATGAATTTACAAGTCAACAACATCATTGCGGTCGAATTAAAGAATGACAGCAGGCCAGGGTCCTAAGATCATTTTCTTGAAGGCCAAAATAAAGGCCTATCCTGATATAAAAATAAATAAATAAAAGTAAAGGTCTATCCCGTAAAATTATAATATTTCAACAAATAAATGGGCCATATGTTTTTTTTTTTGTTAGTACAGAAGGGCCATATGTTCTTTATAAATTGTGTATTGGGCTCACTAACCACAAAGACTTTATATGAATCCAAACTAGGTAAAATAATTATTTTACTTATTTTTTTATATCTATCTTATTTATTATTTTCTAACATTATTAGATCAGAATTTTAAGTAACTTTTATTATTTGTCTTTTTTCTTGAGATTCTTATATAATGATATTGGAAAGTGATAAATAAGATAAGAATGAAAAAAAAGTAAATAAAATAACCTATTGTTAACTTTAAGATTAAATGTTTGAAAGGCATGTTAAATCTGACAAAATCACAACTGGGTCATGGGCAAGGCATGTGATCCTACGTTTCAATTAACCATGAATCACTGTGCATAACGATATGAATGAACCCTGAAACCTGCTACTAGTTAATGTGATGATGCACTGAAATTCATGCATCACATTATCTTTTATTAGTAAGTAGAGATGGTAAAGTGAACGGTTCGTTCCTTCCCTTCTTTGAAAGTGGATTAAAAAAATTCAATCTGCCTCGTGGGCCGATGACATTTAACATTAAAAGAAAAAATAAATAAAAATTTCAGCCCAGACAAGTTTGGCGGGCGACAGGTTTGAAAAATTTAGCTCGTTCCATCTTATTTGGCAGGCAAGCCAAGTCCGTATTGTCATCTTTACTAGTAACTAGTAAGACATAATATAAAATATAAAAATTATTTTTATTTTTCTCTCTCCAATACAATATATGCTAATGTGTACACTTTCATTGACACAGTGTAACTACGCCCGTACTACAATAAATCCGTTAATATGAAGAAGAAGGATATTCTTACTATCAAAATCTTCTACTACCAACTTACTACCTATCTAATCACCATTGGATCAATATTTTCTCTTTTTTCAAAAAAATTTTAGCATTCTCTCTCTTTGATTCAATGGTGATTAGATAGGTAATAAGTTAGTAGTAAAAAATTTTAGTAGTAAGAATATCCTTCTTCTAATATGAATACATAGCCCATTGCAAATAAGGAAATGTAAAACCCAGTGCTGCTGTGCCTACATAATTGATTTATTGGAACCCTTGAAAATAAAAAAGGAAAAAGTTTACCAATGTTTCTATGATTTGCTTCAAAATCACTTATATTTTTTTGGTTTTTTTATCATATATATCTTTGTGCTTTGTAAAAAATAAAAAAATCACTGAAATATATGTGATAAAAAATCACAGAGACATATGTGATAAAAAATACAAAAACATAGATAATTCTGAAACAAACTATAAAAATATTGGTGAATTTTTCTAAAAAAAAAACAAAAAACAAAAAACAAAAGAAGTATGCTTTCCCTGCGCAGTCAACTATGAAAGTGGGGCACACTACTGCAATTGTTAGTCTCATGAGATAAAGTGCCGAGACATATCAATCAGACGAGCGATTAGTGCAGTCCATTATTACCCTGTCACTGCCTATGGATATGAATGCGACAATGATCAAAATGTTTGTCAAAAATTTTATCCAAATGTTATGTAAATAATATTTTTCATCAGTATGTCATATGTCATAATTCACTACCACTGGTAGTGAATTTCGTGGCCAATAATTCTGTGACACGTGGTCATATTGCAGACCAAATTCGTTACCAGTGGTAACGAATTATGACACGTCAGCTTTTTCCTGCGAAAGTGTGCCACGTGTCAAAAAATCATTCGTGAACATAATATGCTACACAGGGTAGCGAATTACTACCTGCTTGACACGTGTCATTTTTGTTGACTGTGCATTCTGACGTTGCATAATTCGCTACACTATGTAGCGAATTATTTGCAAGCATATTTCGCTACACAGTGTAGCGAATTATCCTACGTGGCATTTTGAAAAAAATTATTGTTGGCGTGGCAGTCTGGTAATTTTTTTGGTCAGGCGTGACGAAATGATCACTGTTCCGGGTATGAATAGGTGAGTACTGGGTTGATTGACAATATAATATACTTTTAAAATAAAATTCTAAAATATTATAGTTTGATATTTATTTATTAGAATAATATAATTTGATTGGATCCTATTCCTACAAGAATAAGCTTGTCATTACCATATGATTGGTACATAATATGTATGTGATCAAAAGTGATAGACTGTATTATTTTAGTAATTTTTTTTTAAAATATAACATTTTTGTCAAGGTGAAATCTATTTATAAATTGTATCATATATCTTTAGAGGGCTTTAGAGGGCATTTGGCAGAGGAGATATTTTTTTACCGAAAAAAAAAATTTCAAAAATATGATGGAAAATTGGAAAAAAAATTTCCCAGATAAGTTACGAAAAAATATTTGGTAGGTTCAAATTTTTTCTCAGAATATTGGGTTAATAATAATGATGCTATGGAAAAATAAAAATACCATGTATCATATGGTATTTTTGTTTAAGATTATGTAGTTAAACTGAAATGATAGGAAAAAAACTTTCACGGGAATATTTTTAATTTCCTCATATCAAATGTTAGAAAAATAAATTTATCACCCTACTTTCCCATAATTTCTAAAAACATCTCCATATCAAATGCCCCTAATTTAACTATAAATAAAGTAATTGAAACTTCAACATTTGTCACAACCATGACCTTGACCACTTTAATTGAATTGTGATAGACTGCATCAACTGCACATGGCATAATTCTTGGATTGGATTTTTATACTTTTTAAATTTTCAACTCTGACAGACAATATACCTTTATATATTGCTTACTCAATGGATGACTTTTTTAAGTAAAGTGAAAGTAATAAGAATTAAGTCTTAACCCATCATTTGATTTTTGAATTCAAGGATATAAAAGCAAAATGCAGATAAAGATATAGAGAAATGAGCCATTCAAAGAGGGAAAAAAAAAAGGTTTAAAACACAAAGAAAAGGTAAAGACACTATGAACCATTATATGTGACCTTTTTCAAGACCTAGAGGAACGAGAAATTAGAGAAGAAAGAGTGATTAAAGGAAAAAAAATTTTACCTTTGAGGCAATGACTTGGAGGCCAGCATACTTAACATCCCAACTGAACTCAGTTATGGCCCAACCAATGCCACCAAAGCTATGAGCCTTGGAAATTACGTATTCAAAATACTCTTCCTTGTCGGTGGCCTTGTACAGCCACATGGCTGCCCACAATAACTCGTCCATGTATCCACTCACCGACGCATAGTAGCTCTTCACTACTCCAACACTAGCATCATATTTTCCTCTGTACTTATCCCCAAACTCAAACAACTGCACAATAACATATACACAACAAAAGTTAGTTTCAATTACTATATCAAAAGTGAAAAATCCTGAGAGGAAAAATTAATATAACAAGATTTGACTTAGACTGAGTTAGCAAAATAAACTGTAACACTTACTATTCATATCCAACTATTGCCTTTAAATTCATGTATTGTTAAAGTGGGATAAATGCTCTCTCATCATACATTAGTGATTAGGCTCAATACGATTCACACTAGGAATTTCCTTTCCCTATAAATATTTCTTTTCCATTGAAGAGTAACTATTATATTGACATAAATAAATCTTACCCTGAAACACTCAAAACAGGTCACATACTTTACTAGAATACTAGTCTCTCAAACTTAAAAAACACTACATGTGGAGAATGTATATCAAACTTGTTCCAAACATAATTAACTATGGTTCCTATTTAAAACTAATCCACCAAACACAAGTACAGCTGAAAGAAGCACACTAGAGCTTACTTGGTGAGCATGGTGTAAAAGTAGGTGAGAGTAATGAGGGTTTGTTTTCCTGAACACAATGGAGGCAGCTGCCATAGCTGCAGCAGTCTCTCCAGCCAGATCTGAACCTGGATTTTTCTCATCTATCTTAAATGCTTGCCTTGATGTTGTCATGTCTTCTGGGCGTTGCCAGCAATAATGGTCTGTATCTCCATCACCAACCTGAGTGGTAAAAACAAACAACTTTGAGCAATTTCTTGAATCCCTTAAATCAATGTTACTATAAAAAACACCAACTAACTACATACCTCTGCCCAAAGAACATTTGGGCTAGTATGAGCTTTGATGAAGTAATCAGTTCCCCATTTGATTGCCTCCATTGTGTGTTCCACTTCACCAGCATTTTCAATTTGTTGCCAAAACTCTATGGCACCCCATGAGATCATAGTCACAGTGAATGCCATAGGTAAACCAAACTTCACATGATCACCTGCATCATAGTACCCTCCTACCAAGTCCACCTGCAAAAAAAAACAAAAAAAAACAAAAAAATAACCATACTTTAACTTAATTGGAAATTATCGAGTCTACAAAGTGAAAGCTAAGAATTTGAAGTTCTGTGGCAAATGGTATTCACAAATTTGGCTCACCCCTTGTTCTAAACCATCTGTGAGGCCAGAATGATCACGCCAAGTTACACGTTGGTTGTATGGTAGCCTCCCAGAGCGTTGTGCTTCAAAGTAGAGAAGGCTCTTTGAAAGTGCATCAGCATAATCAAAGGCTTGAGTAGTAGTGACAATGGTGAAGATCAAGAGGATAAAAAGGTAATAATGAGGTAAAAATCTGTGGGGTTTAGAAGCTCCAACATGGTGTTTCTTTTGTTGTGTCTCCTTCTTCTCCATTGTCCCTTTCCTCCTAAACAACAACTTTTGAGGAGTGAAGGGAATTGGAAAAAGTGAGGCCACACCTCATCAAACCACTGCACAAGTTCAGCAGTTAGTGCTTTGAATTGTCTTTGAAAACTTTGTGCCTAATGCCTATGGTCTAATTGGCACACCCTTTTGCTTGAGAGTTAAAACACTACACCACTTTATATTTTCTTCACACTAGCTTGAAATTTCCTACATTTTTTATGATGTCTCTGTATTTAACAAATAAGGAAAACACCTTTCTATGTGGAACTACTCCACTGGAATTTCAATGAAGCCATTCCCTCTACTTGTTACATTGAACGACAGATATTGAAAATTTCTATGCGATCTAACAGTATTTGAGATAAGTAGACAGAGTAGGCATAAAAAAAAAAAAAAAAGTAAGCCCAATATCTTATCTTTATCTATATATAATAAATGATTATAGTAAGAATCAATTCAATCCAAAAATTTAAGTTGTTAAGTGATGACTTTTTTAATGATTTTATATATCTCTAATATGTTCTCTCACAAAAGAGTTCATTGAGTTTGAAAAGTGAATAATGCATAAGAACCAGTAAAGAAACCAATTCATCTCAAAAGATTAAATTATTATATGAGGTTACATTAATAATTTTAGGGAATTGTTTATCTCATTTGATATGAGATAAACTCATTTTTCTATACTCACATGTACGTATGTTATAAAAAAATTACTATAATTTAGAGGATTGGATTTGCTAAGGATGTGGTTATTATAAAATAAAGGGATTAAAGTTTCTGCTGTTTGTGGGTATAATATTTGAAATCGTATCTGATGCATAGCTGAATTATGTACAGCTTAAAAGCTATAAAATTAGAAACTTCGTGAACTAGTTGGATTTTTCGGAAAGGGGCCTATTTCTTGTATTGGTATATAGTTAATCAGTCATTCTGAACTAGTTTTAGGGTTGAGCAAAAAATGGCTCTTTTATGGGTAAAGTTTGGTCACTATTTTGCATCGAAAGCGATGAGCCTGCTATTAAGAGATTAAGAGATTCCGTTTGGCGCGGTGGGTAAAGGTTTGGTCCATATCTTTTGAGGGTGTAAGTTCAAATTTCGTTGGTTAATGTGAGAACTTTGTTGATGGGTGATATGTAATCACTCCCAGAAACCCTCAAAGAGATTGGAGAGTCTTCTCTGACCCTACTAGAATATCTGTATGTAATTCCACTTAAATTTTTTGTTATAAAAAAAAAAAAAAAAGATTGCGTTTCGCATGCCTCAATCTGATCAAAAACTGGAAGTTGAAAATTAATTGACTAAGAAGGAAGCATAGTGCGCGTGACACGTGAATGACGTGATGCAAGTTCGTTGCACCCTAACATATTCCATCATTATTGCTCCTCTAGCTCATCCCTCTCTTTTACTCTGTCCTTGGTATAAGATATTGGAACCAAAATGAGGCAGCAGCTTCCTAATAATATGATTGATGATAACAGTCTTTTATGAAATGTTATATAAAATGGACTCTCTCGTATTAAAAAAAAAATGGCACAGTCATATAAGAAGATCATAATTATACAAAAGTAAATCAATAATTATAATTTTATATATAAAATGAATTTTCTCATATTAAAAAAATATGACATAATTATGTGAAAATATCACAATCATACAATCTTAAATATGAAAACTTGCCCAATCTTTTGCATTCCCTTTATTCCATTGGCATGATTATATTACACTATGATTATTGAGAGGCAAAAAAATCTGAAACGACTCATTATAATGATATTCTTATGGCTAACTATAGCAATTATTTACTATCACCCGAAATTTCCTTTGTTTGTGGGTGAATCCGAAATGGTGTAAGGCAAAAAAAAATAAAAAAAAAATTGCCCCCTTTTTCTTTCTAGTAGTGTTTTTTTTTTTTTTTTTTTATCCATCCATTCATATGCATTGCTTCTAACATAGCACGGGCCAGCCATTTTAGCATAATTTTTACATAACAAGTTATTTACAAAATAATTCATTTGTATTAACAGATCCATAATTCTATTTATCAATATGTAAGGAAATATCTTTGGTGGACACCCAAATCTCAATAATTTATAAAGGGTTTAATATTTTTTCGGCAATATGAAATAATTTTATCATGTTTGTTTACATGGGAGTGGGTGGGACCTTATGAAAATAAGAGAAAAAAAATATAAAAAAATGGGCTCTATCCATTTTTATGCATATGCCGAAGATAAAATTCTGACAAATTGATCGTACTACCAATTTTGATGAAAAGATTTTTCTGTTCAAAACTAATTTGGCAATCAAACCCGTCAACTATGCTAACGGGTATAGTCCCGTCAACATAGTTGACAGGAATTCCCTCCACATCATCAAGCTCAACGGGTCAACGTGCACGGGTTTTTATTAAGTCCAGGTTTTATTAAATTCTATAATAAGGTTTTTTATCCTAGGATTTTTATACCTAGGGTTTTTATACCTAAAAAAATAACTAATTTAAATTAAATAACAAAATATAAAACATAACTAAAGTAAATAAAAAAAAATAAAACACATTATCTATAGTTGCAAAGGAACGTTGTTGCTGCAAAAAGGAACGCCCCAGCAGACGAGATGATGTAACTTGAGAGAAAAAGGAGAAACGAATTTAGAGAGAAGGAGGGTGGAGGATTGAGGCAGCTTGGGAGAAAAATACTAAATAAATATTAAATATAATTTAGGGTACCCTAGGATAGAAATCTATTTACTAAGGTAACAATAAGTAAATAGTAATTATAAGTGTTTTAAGTAAAAAATAATTAATTAGTAATTAAATAAATAAATAAAAATTGTAATTAGTATATAATTAATATTTTAAATAAATATTAAATATAATTTAGGGTACCCTAGGATAGAAACCTATTAATTAATTAATTAATTAATTGGTAATGTAACAATTAAATAGTAATCATAATTAGTGTTATAAATAAATAATAAATATAATTTATGAAAGCTTAGGATAGATAACATATTTAAAAATAATAATTAATTAGTAAATAAATGATTAAATATTAATTATAGTTTAGGGTACTATTTTGATTATTGTTTTAAATATTAATTAGTAAATAATTTAGGGTACTGTTTTAATATTTATTATAATTATTGATTTATAAATAATTTATCACAAAAGTTGATTATAATATTTTTTAGAAATAATTTAGTGATTTAAATATTTATTATGATTTATCACAAAAGTTGACGGAACTAAACATGTCAAAAAATCTGACTGGATTGGTTTTGTCAATAAAGCTGATGGGACTCAACGCAATCATGCCACGTGGACACTGACCGGTTGCGCTTAATGATATGGAGGGGAGTCATGTCAACTATGTTGACGGGACTATAACTGTCAGCATAGGTGACGGGTTTGACTGCTCTACTATGAAAAAATATTCCAAATCATCTTTGAACAAGAAAATCTTTTCACCAAAATTGATAGCACAGTCAATTTGCCATAAAATTCTTTTGAAAAAGTTTAGTCACATTTATTAATAATTTTAAAAAAATGAGAATTTGACAAAATAGTAGTTAGCCAAATATGCTTAAAATATAGTGAAATGTAATAAATTCGACCAACTAATGACGGCTTCTTGTTTTGAATTTTAATTCATTCATAATTGTCAGCTTCCTTTGAATTTAAATCAATATCACTATTGGTTCTCCGTCATATTCTTCCTTGTTAGTAACTGTGGAAATCTCTTACATGTTAATAATATGTCAATTAACTATTTTTTTTTGTTTTTTTGTTTTGTAGTAGTCAATTAACTAATTTTAAGACTATTCAGTGTAGAATGTTCTACCAAATCGATCATTATCTTATGAAATCTTTCGAGTGTTGATCTAATTAACATTTGATCCTGCATGAGAAAGGAAGAATAGACAGATAGAAAAAATAGATAGTGGATAGTAGACAGAATAGACAGAACTTCTTTGTGGATTAATCCTTCTAAACAACCCTTAGGAGTATATTATTCTTGGGGATTTCATCCTTTAGGACATCCATTGGTAAAGTATTATGCATCTTCTTTTGGAAATGCTATAGTTGGCCATACCAAAAACTGAATAAAAGGAACTTACCTTGGTAAGCTTTCGGGACATCCTTAGGGTACAGACACCTAAGAGCCACAAGCTGAGTGGACATCTCTTGGAAGTTCCACCGAATAATATAGCATGTATGTTATCAGTAGAAATAGAATAGAATATAAGGAACTTCCCTTGGTAAGCCATCGGGACATCCTTAGGATACAGACACCTAAGAGCCACAAGTTGAGTGGACATTTCTTGGAAGTTCCACAGAATAATATAGCATGTATATCATCAATATAAATAGAACAGAATAAAAGGAACTTCTCTTGGTAAGCCTTCGGGACATCCTTGGGGTACTGACACCTAAAAGCCACAAGCAGAACAGACATCTCTTGGAAGTTCCCTAGATTAATATAGCATGTATGTTATCAATAGAAATAAAACAAAATAGAAGGAACTTTCCTTGGTAAGCCTTCGGGACATCCTTGAGGTACAGACACCTAAGAGTCACAAGCAGAGTGGATATCTCTTGGAAGTTCCATCACATAAAAGATTATGTATACATGCTTTGTTTAATATTATGGATGCACTTAAAGTGAACAACATGATGGAGTGATCCTCTAAGGACCTTTAGTTTAATGAGATTTTTATCTCATCCTGTATTGGGGATATCATTTCATGTACCTCCACAGATAGAGAGGGAGCATCTCATGGCATGAGGCCAACATAGACTATATTATATAGCATAAGCATACTGCTCTTGTTGATTATTTTGATGTATATATATATTGATGTAATCAAATTTTGAGAAGAACATGGAACGAGATAGTAAAGGAACTTGGTATAATCATGTTATTTTGTGTTACTTATGATGTACACTTGTCTAAGAAACATTGATCATATGTATTTAAAGTTGTAAGTTCCAAACATGTAATATTTTATATAT